GCAGACACCACTCTGCATAGTCTATGGCTGTCCAGCTGAGCCAGTCTGCCTGCATGTTGGATGCCCCAGAGATGTGCTCCACTGTCAAGGAATGCAGGTGACACTCCGCCCATAGGCCCAGCCTGGAGGCCTCCAACATCAGACCTGTGGATCTGGTGCCCGCCTGGCGATTTATATGGGCCTTTGTGGTCACATTCTTGTTAAGAACCAACACATTGGTCCATGACCAGCTGCCGGAAGTGCAGGAGAGCCAAATAGACTACACGCAACTCCAGCCAATTGATGCTCCAGTATAGGTTGCAGCCTGACCATTTGTCCTGAGCAACCTGCGTCTGGAGATGTGCCCCCCAACCAGTGAGGCCTGCGTCTGTTGTCAGCACCAGATAGTGAGGCTCGTGGAACAGCCGCCCCTTGGATCGGCCGTAGACCTCCACCAGGTGAGGGATCTGCTGATGCTGGGGGGGAACCCGGACCCCGGCTGGAGAATTGCCTTTGCCTGCCTTCTGAAAGGTTTCTTGCATGAAGGCGAGCCCACAGGGTAATGTGGATGGCCGAAACCATCTTGCCTAGGAGCGTACACAGCAGTGCCAGGGGAACCTTACGTTCTCTCTGAACTATACCTACGAGTTCTTTAAAGCTGGCCTGTCGCTCCTGAGAGAGGTAGACTTTACCGTCTAGAGAATCTATCATCGCTCCAGGATGTAGCATACGTGTCGACAGAACCAAGTGGCTTTTCTCTATATTAATAGAGAAACCGTGCTCCCTGAGGCAATGCATAGTTACTTGGAGATTCTCTAGGGAAAGATGTTCAGAAGAGGACTGAATTAAAATATCATCCAAGTAACATTGGACACAGACAGGGATGGCCCAAAGATGAGCCGCCAAGGCAGCTAGTACCTTAGTAAAGGCAAGGGGTGCAAAAGAAAGTCCAAATGGTAAGGCACGGTATTGATAGTGCGTACTGGCATAATAAAACCTTAGATATTTGCAATGCGGGGAAAATATAGGGATGTGTAAATAAGCCTCAGTGAAGTCAATACAAGCGAGGAAGTCGCCCTTCCTGATGCCAGCCAAAATAGATTGAAGAGACTGCATTTTGAACCGTTTATAAATAATGTATCGGTTCAGTCTTTTGAGGTCCAGAATCGGTCTCCACCCATCCAAGGACTTGGGAAGCAGAAATAATAAAGAATAGAATCCCTGACCCATCTGATTCTCTGGTACCTCTTGGATAGCTCGAATGTCCAGAAGGTGTCATACGGCCAAATCCATGAGGACCTTTTTGTGCCTGTCTTTAGAGATGGGATAGCAAATAAAGAACCTCGGGGGGGGTGTGGAGAGGAATTCAAGAGATAGACCAGATCTTACAGTATCCCTGACCCAAGAGTCCGACGTAAGAATGTCCCATTGGTCAGCAAATAGAGCTAGCCTGCCTCTGGTGGGAACGTCAGGCATGCAGTTAGCATTGGCAGCGGAAAGGACTACTTCCTCCCCCTCGAAAGGACCATTTACCAGGGAATGTTCTACCTCGGTACAGCCTGTCCTGGGTTCCCCACTGTCTAGGCATGAAGGACCCCTGGGGATGGGAGGTTCCAGCACTCCAATAGGATCCCCTCACAGGAGGCCTGCAGAAAAAGGGATAAAATTGAGAGTCAGTTTTATGCTGAGATGAAGGTAAGATCTTGCGCTTGTCTTTCGACTCCACGAGGAAAAGATCTAAGGAGGAGCCAAATAACTTGCCCCCCATAAAGGGGGCTGAAGCCAGACACCACTTGTGACGGGTGTCCGCCTGCCAATGCCGGAGCCAGACTAGTCAACATGCCGCCACCGTCGAAGCCATGGACTTCAAAGAGAAGCGGGCAGAATTGAGGGTGGTGTCTGCTGAGAACTGGATTGCAGTGATGATTTTATTTAAGTCTTGCTGCAGCCTGGAGTCATCAGGAGGCAATTTGCCCTGGAGCTGACTCAACCAGAACAAGGTCGCTCTGTTGAAGAAAGAGGCTGTGATGGCAGATCTAATCACCCAGGCAGCCCCTTGGTGAGCTCGTTGGACCGCCTGGTTCAACCAGCATTCCTCAGGACAGATACCCTCGTCTCATTTGCCCGGGATGGCAGTGTTAGGCAGCAAGGCTGCAATAGGGTCATCTACCATGGGAACTTCCATCAAAGCTGCCAAATCGGATGCCACATTAAAATAGCGCCTGTCAGCAGAAGAAAGCACCGGAGCAGAGCCAGGCGATGACCACTGGCATTGAATAACATCCAGGAATAGTGGAGGTGCTGGGACAGAGTCCACAGGTTTGGCCGGCTCCAAAAAGAGAGGGTTAAATGGATGTTGAGGAGGTGGAGGAGCCTCCCCAGCCACCAGAGAGTCAAGTTGCGCCACTTTAGACGCTTTAAAGAGCAAAGTTTTAAAAACTGCTGGAGGAAAAAGACCAGTAAATGCTGGATGCTCCGGCAAGAGGCCCTCGTCGTCAGACAGGTCCGGGTCCTGGTGGTCAACCTCCTGAAGGGTCACCAGACGGGTCGTGTGTGAAAGAGCTGATGACACCGACTCCGGACAAGATGACAGATGCTGCCCTTGGAGAAAGGCAGGCCAATAACAGTGCCATGTAGGCCTCCAAAATGGCCACAAGCAACTGCGAGGTAAAAGCAAGCTGTAAATGGCCGCCACAGGCGGACCAATAGAAAACCTTTGAGGACAAGGGTTCCTGGGCAGTCAAATTGCAAGGTTCCAATCTCTAGGCCAGACGGCAGTAATAGGTGGCTCTGGCCAAAGCACAGAGGCCACCTGCAGAGCGCAAATGTGCTAATAGTCCCTCGGGAGTTGGGCGGCATAGAAATGTGATAAATTAAATAGTAATTTGAGTGTGAAGCTCAAAATGGCAGCCGCCAGGAATAAATGGAGCGCAAAGCTCCTGAAAGTTCCAAAATGGCTTATGGCAGCCTGAAGTCCCAAACGGTTCCCAACAGCGAGCAATGGAGCGCGAAGCTCCTGAGGCGGAAAAAGGAAATGGCTCTCTCCGAAATCACTGCTGCCAAGCCGGGAAGGGCAGTTTCTGCAGACTGGCGGGCATAATGGGAGCGCGAAGCTCCACCAGCGGATCCGTGCATCAGGCGACCTCCAGGGAGATCGAAAAACCAATGGCTGCCCGCCCAGCCCACTACGGAGCGCAAGGCTCCTCACCGAAGTTATATAGCTGCAGGGAGCGTGGAGCTCCTCTTGTTCAAATCCAAGCCCCCTGAGAGGCACAAGGCCCCACAGTGCTCCGGAACGCCTGCTAGTTCAATGGAGCAGATATCAGAAAAAAAGGTCAGGGGGGTGGGCTCCCTTTGAGAGCAGGCAAGCCTGCAGAGGAGGAATAAGTCTCCACAGAAACGAAGTGTCTGTAACTCACTGTTAGAAGAATCAAGTCAAATGAGAAAACAGAGACAAGTCAAGGAAAACAGCAATCAGGAATGGAATTAATTAAATCTTGGTAAGAGAACCAGCCCGAGACATCTGTCTAGTCTGAAGGACTGAGACAAAAGCTGAATATCCCTAGCAACAGGGGCGGGATTTAACTTAACTATAGACTCAGTCCTTCAAGCTAAACAGACGAGAACAACCCATTCCTGGCTGCTTTCTCCACCACTATGGAGAATAAAGGGATTCCTTAATATGGATGGATTCAGGATATGAGTCTGTTATTTGTTTTTTAAAAGTCTTGTAAAATATAAGTTTAAAAATGAGAGGATGTAGCAGTATGTTAAGAACTGAATTAATTACATATTGATACTAAATGTCCATTATATCAATCTGTTTTGCTTTCTATTACTCACTTTTAATATCCACTTTTATATAGCAATGGTAATATAGCCATGATTAGATTTATCAATAAGATAATCATCTTAATGATTCTTATCAATAATTCTTACCAATAAGAAATATAAAATTAACGTATAAGATTGATGATATAAATAAAAGCTTCAATACAGGACTCAAAATATACAACTTTAATAATTAGAATTTAAATTATTTAAGTCAATTACTTCTAATTGTTAAACAAAATGCCAATCCCACTTTAAATATTATTTCAGGGAGCATGCATTATTGCTCAACTTACTCAGGATATCCAGTTTATTTCCTTTACTTATCATTTAGTAAATCTTAGTAAATCTATCTATATATAAAAACTCTACTTCCTATAACTTTTAACTAGGTGAAATAGTTGCTTGATAGGGCAACAATTTTTGACCTGAAGTATCTCAAATGGGCTAATTTACAGAATGTGTCCAAAACCCAGGACCCATGACTCTTGTGGAATTGAAATTTTGCAAATTTTGCAAATATTTTATGATATAAAAAATTACCATAAAATAGTTTATGATGTAATACAAAAGGTCATAAAACACTTCCAGGGGTCAACTCCATTGTTTGACTTTGCAATACAGTTTAGCATGGCCTACTTTCAAGCCAGATACATTTCTGAATATCTCCCTGAATTTTTAAAGATATTTCCAGTACCTTCAGAAGCTCTGACATTGTTGAAGGCATTTATTTATTTATTTAGTATATGGCATATCATACATAAACTAACAATATATATTAACATTTCACCTAGATTAGTAAAACACAATAAAATATAAATATTCAAAAGATATAAGTTCAGGTACCAATATCTAGGCCATTGATGCACATAGTTTATATTTAAAAAATCAGATACTGGACTGGTATATGCCCTTAATTTACAGCCAGTCAGGATGTGATCTACAGTTTGATGTGTGACCCCACAGTTACATCGAGGGGAGCATACTATGCAGATGCCATGTGAGGTTCGAATCATATTCAGGGTTGTCCATTGCTGATATAGTAGTTCAAAGCCTGGCAGTTCATGTGGGGTTATTTATATGTCTTCCTATGTATGGATGTTCAGCAGCCCATTTGGCTTTCCATTGGGAATCGATGTTAAAGCTGTTGGGCAAATGTTGTGCAAGTGTTAGTGGGGGTTTCCTGGATTCCAGAGTACCAATGGCAGTATCTATTTCCTTTACAGAGAAGGGACAAGAGTACTCAGAAAGCGTTCAGCCTGTCCGCCAAAAAGCTGAAAGCGCTTTCTTGATGAGATTGGAGTGTCCTTTCACCCTTGGAGCTTTGGAGAGAGATACAACTCAAGAGGCTACTTGGTAAGGAGTTACATAGAGTGTTTGTTCTGTAGGTTGTCTAACTTCTCCCAGTTTCCTTAATAGGCTCCAAGCTTTCCTGCTGGATTTGCTGAAATTTCATGATTCTGTATATTGTTTCCATTTCTTACGTCAAGCTGCATCCAAGCTGTGTAAGAGATCATCAGCAATCTCCGGATCACAGCTCTGTAGGAATACCTGGTAGAGTCCTTCAGTATCTTTTTTTCCCAACCTGGGATGTACTAAATCCTCAACGAATATGTCTTTTTGCCAAGGTGATTATTGTCTTCATAAATCTATGATATAATGCTGACTACTTGGTGGAATTTACTGCATAGTTTTATCTAGATTTGAAGGCGCTGAGGAATCTGTATGGAAATATTTCTGAGATGATGTCCCAATGGGTCACAGGTTGTCTAGTTTCAGTTAACAATAACACTGTGAAGCACAGAATGCATTGTGATAATATACCACTAGTGATAAGATAGGTTGGATTTAAAATACCGTATTTAAATACGCACCCCACCCTCAAAAAAGTGGGTGAAAATGTCTGTGCGTCTTATTGAACAAATGTTGCCGAAGCCCCACCCACCCACTGGCCTCCACCCTTCGGCCATTTTCAGCCTCCCTGCGTCCCGTTTTCAACCCATTCCAGGCGGTGGGGATTGCCACCACTTAGAATGGGCCGAAAATGGGGCGCACGGAGGCGTCGATCCCCGCAGCCTGGCACAGCTGATCACCAGTATTCTGGGAGTCCGATCCAACCACCAATCAGCTGCTCGTGCTAAATCGGGCTATGATAACGTGCTGAAGCTGACCAGGCTGTTTGCTGCAAGGACGCTAGCCAGATGAATACCGATGGATGCTGGGAGGCAGAGGCAGATTTTTTTTATTGTTTTCCTCCCGAAAACCTAAGTGTGTCTTATGATCCGGAGCATCTTATAGTGCAAAAAATATGGTAGCTAAGTATGGCAATTATTAGATATTTATTCTGACAGTAAAAGAAAGCTATTTCCAGTAAATTGGTTTAATTCAAAACAGACAACTTTTCTCTTTATTATCAGTCACAAGCAAATTGTTTAAAATCATATTTCTGGTTGCTCAGAAAACAAGTACACATGGGAAATTGGTAAACATTCCCCAATTAACTAGTCATTTTATCTCAGATTGCAGCATCAGTAAGTTATACTCTCAAAATGAAGCTTAAGTTCCTGCTTTGTGTTACTTATTTCGCCAGGCCGGATTGGATTGAAGGGGTTTTTAAGGGGAGTTTTAATGGTTTTTAACACTTAATATTGATTTTATCTGTTTTTATTGCTGTGAGCCACCCTGAGTCCTTTCCGGAGAGAGGGCGGCATATAAGCAAGCTAAATAAATAAATAAATACTTCCATTCCATTTCCAGATTCTTCTGGGTTTTTTATTATCTACAGTTGTGATATCTGAATTTAGCAATTATAGCTATCACAGCTCATAATTTGCCTCTAAATCTAAATCAAAGACCTAATTCAGTTCATGGTTTCAATTCTAATTGGAGACAAACTGATTTGCATTAATCATAGTTTTCCCAATTTAAAGGTTATATCTAAAACTATAGAAATCAGAGGGAAAGATAGGGCCAACAACATAGAATACTTGGAGAATTTAAATTAAGAAACACAGAACTAGGCACAAGAGAAGAGTTGTATAATGGTATAAATAAATGGTTAATATGACTGTAGAAAGATACGGCTGAAAATGTATAAATGCATCAAAGTGAAAGCAAGCAAATTCGTAAACTGTAAAATAAGGAAAAAATAAGTGAAATAGAAATCAATCACTGATGCGAGAATTTCTTAAGAGCTAGTCTATAGACTTCTTGTTTCTTTTTTGTTTTTGCACTGTGTTAATGTATACGTGTTTGTATGTATTTGTGTTTTTACGTTTGTCTATGTTAATAAAAAATAAAAAAATTTTTAAAAAAATTATAAACTTTATTAACAAATAAATAAAACACGCACAAACATATATAACAAAGCACAACAAAAAAAGTACATTATACAATAAAACAATTATATATATTCAAACAAATAAAAATAAAAAATAAAACTATAGAAATCAGAACCAGGAAATGAAAGGGGCATTAGGATTTATGGGCTCAAGCTGTAGCTCCAAACACAAGAAAGTCAAATGACGTATCAGTACAGTTATTTGTTTCATTTTATATTACATTTATATAAAAAAGTCAATTTCTATTCTTAATGCATCACTATCTCTAAAAAAAGCTATACCACAATGCCAGATTAGTAATGCTAGAGCAGGGGCTGCATATTGGGAAATGGGGTGCGCAAGTGACAGGCGAGTGCACGAAGCTTCATTTGTGCATGTGCAGGAGCTAGGTCGCGTTCATGAAACCATCCCCTCCCCACCTCTGCCACCACCGCTGCTGCTGCAGGTCCAGAAAATTAGAAAGGTTAGGGACTGCTGTGTTACAAGATATAAATGAAATTAATTAATTAAACAATATAGCAGTAATATACAGACTCACCAATACATATGTCACCATCTAATAAATTGTCATCCTCAGAGGTCTGGAAATCCATGATAACACCAGCTCCATCTAGCAATTCTTCATCACTACTAGCACTAGTTATGCTGTTGTAACTATTTCTATAGTAACTTCTATGGAACAGTTGTTCAGACTCCATTTAGCTTCCCTTTGTAAGCTAAAAAAAAAGAAGACAGAAATAATTAGATGTAACTTTTTAAAGAGGAAAAACAAAAAGGATTTTTTAAGTAATATACATGTTATACATGGAATATTTCAGTGAAGCTATAATTAACAGAGTGAGGGGTCCTTGAGACTCTTTGAACTTAGTTGTTTTCTTGCAGACATTTCATTAGCCAAACTAGGTAACATCAATGCTAGTCCTGTGCTAGTCCACTAGCACTGATAATGTTATCTAGTCCGGGCAATGAAACGTATGAAAGAAAACAACCACGCTTAGAGGACCCCCTCATGTCAACCCTGAGCTACAAATATTCTCCCTTATTTTAACAGAGAATATTATTCACACAAGAGCAGATGCTGAAAATTATTTAAAGGCAGATTTAAGTTTTTTAATTAAATTTTGACTTTAATATTTTGAATGCTTCTGACACTAATGTATTATTTATACTACAAAAAACTACAGAACTTCAAAAAATAATTTCACTGCCAAAAGCATTTTTTGAAATCTACAGAAATTATTAAATGTGTGCTTAAGAACATACTACATTTCCTGAGGGCATATTTTATCTAATGGTGATTTGACTAATTCATAATTTCCTATCAGAAAATCTTCATAATTATAGTACCTGAGTTTCAATACAAGTAGTCCTTGACTTACAGTCATTTATTTAATGACCATTCAAAGTTACAACGGCACTGCAAAAAGTGACCTGTGACTGTTTTTCACACTTATGAATGTTGCAGCATCCCCATGGTCACACGATCAAAATTCAGACACTTGACAACTGGCATATATTTATGACAGTTGCAGTGTCCCAGGGTCATGTAATCACCATTTGCAACCTTCCCAGCTGGCTAATGACAAACGAAGTCAATAGGGGAAGCCAGATTCATTTAACAATTGCATGATTCACTTAACTGCAGTGATTTGCTTAACAACTGTGGCAAAAAAAAGATCATAAAATGGGGCACAATTCACTTAACAATGGTCTTGCTTACAAAAGAAATTTTGGGCTCCATTGTGGTCATGGTTATCTGTAGTTTACTGCACCACTGCCCTAATTCACTAAAGCATAATAAGCATAAGACATTCAACCTTCAGCAAGTAGAAAGTTTTCCTTGCAACTTTATATCTCATTGGCAAGCTGTTTGCCAATTTGCAGGGAGGGAAATTGATGAAATCTTTATGCTCAGAACATGGAAAATGTTCCCTGAATCTCAGCCAATATTAAATACTATTTATTTTTCAAAAATCGTGTCTATTGTTTTTAAATTTAACATGCTATACTGATGTATAATACATAAAAGTGGAATTCATGCAATCTTGGAATCAACATGTTTACTCTTTTTTATCCGACTCCAAAAGTAGTCCTTGACTTATGAGCACAACTGAGCCCAAAATTTCTGTTCCTAAGCAAGACAGTTGTTAAGTGAATTTTGCCATTTTACAACCTCTCTTGTCACAGTTGTTAAGTGAATCACTGCAGTTGTTAAATTACTAACATGGTTGTTAAGTGAATCTGCTTTCCCATTGACTTTGCTTGTCAGAAGGTTGCAAAAGGTGATCATATGACCTTGGGACACTGCAACTGTCATAAATACAGAATTTTGATCACATGACCATGGGGATGCTACAACGGTCGTAAGTATGAAAAACTGTTATAAGTCACTTTTTTCAATGCCACTGTAACTTTTAACAGTCACTAAATGAACTGTTTCAACTCAAGGACTTCCTGTACTATACAAGTGTTATGTGGGTATACCTTGGAAGTCTAATACTGAACATATTGCTGCATGATGGACCCGTTGAAGCTTCAGAATGCTCTTCAAGGACATATAGCACATTGCAATAATACAAGTAGAAGGGAACTAAGGCATGAGTGACAATAAGTAATACGATCTAGGAATTGGTACAACTATGCATAAGACATAATTGTGCAAAGATTCTCCTGACCACGCTGCCATCTGCTTGATTGTTACCTATCCAGAATCAATTAAGAAAATCATTGGATTTGAGGGGCCTTAAACCTCACAGTCACTCAGTCTTATTAAGGTTGAGCTGAAGCCAATTCCTTCTCATCCAGACCTACACACCCTCCAGGACATGAGAAAGCACATCAACAGTATCACTTAAGTGGTTCAGACATAGATGGACCTGAATATTATGGCGTACTTAATTTTAATATTTCAGTTAAGTACAAATCAGACCAGAGGTTTCCAAATCTTTTCAGGACAGAGAAAATGATAGTTTTAAAAAGTTCTCAGAACATGGGTAAAAAAAATTGGGTTCATTTTTTTGGCCTTAGACTCCCACATAACCAACCTCATTAAGTTCTTTTGAAAACTAGAATGAAAAAAACTTGAATTATATTTAAAGAAATCCAGAAAACTGAAAAGTAGCAAAGTTGTTGCCAAACCAATTAATATAATATTCCATATTCAATCCCTGTATTTTACAATATATTTCATTCTTCTTGAATAACCATCAGCTATATTATGCATACATAATCACAACTCATGAGTGTCATATGACTTCAAAAAACTATATTAAAATCTTATTGAGAACTCATATGTCTAGCATTCCTAACAGCAACACTATGTATCCATAGTACTGCAGGGTTGGATTATTTGTATTATTAACCCTAACACTTTGATTACCTCTGATAGGAAGATATTTTTTTCTCCATAAGAAACGGAATAAAAACTATCAAATTTAAAAGCTATTCAATTCCATAAGCACAATAAAAAGAAAGTTCCAGATTGTTAGTAGCAAGAGTAGTCTTATATACCACTTCATAGTGCTTTACAGCTCCCTCTAAGTAGTTTACAGAGTTAGCATATTGCCCCCAACAATCTGGGTCCTCATTTTACTGACCCTTGGAAGGATGGAAGGCTGAATCAACCTTGAGCAGGTCAGGATCGAACTCCTTAATCAAACTTTTTAATCAAAAAGTTAACATACCAAATCTTTGGTATGTTAAGGGACATAATAAAAGAAGAACCCTCTATTGTTTATATTCTTCTAATAATAGCTATAGTGCCTTGCTGAGCTGCATAGGTCTGTCCCACATCCTGCGATCTAAAGAAAAATATCTTGGCAGGAAAGTATGAGGACAATGATTATGCAACTTAAAAATTAGGTTCAAAATTTGGAACAAAAGAAGATCAAGCACATAGTCAATTGGATTAAAACTTTTCTAGTGAAAGATGGCCTTACAGAAGTAGTTTCATATATATTCTATATGTGGCTAGGCTTAACCTGTCTCCAAAGTCACACCAAGGCAATGATTTTGATTAAAACAGACAGCATCATTAAGCATAGCCTAAAAATCACAACCTCCTCCTCCTTTTGCCTTCTCGGGAAAGGCATTACCACTGCTTCAAGTACATGTTAAAAGAAATATTGTAGGAAGCATCCTACAGAAACGTTTACCTATGCATGTCTTCTTTAATTCAGTTAAAATTAATCTTCCACATGTATTATTCAATTCACAAGATACAAACAGCAACTTAATGAGGACATCTCTCACAGGACAGATTCCAAAAGAATATTCATGGCACAAGGAAAAAATTACTGAATACCAGAAAGATTGCCCACTGTTTTTCTTTTTCATCCATACAGTAGGGATATTTTGTCCAGTAAGATACCATATAAAGTTCCTCTCATTTTTCCAAAAAGGAGAAAAGGAGAACAATAAAAAGTAAAGCGGCATCAAAGTCAACAGTTTAAAATCCTTGTAAAATACTGCCTTTTTTAAAAAAAACGAATCACAGCACAACCTATGACTTCCAATGTGCTAAGACTGTAACTCCCAGAATTTTCAGTAACTACTTGTTCTAACACATACAGAAAGCACCAGGATGAGGAACGCTTGCTTCAGCATTTCGCAGAGAAAAACTTTATTAGTTAACCTCCTGCTACTATAGTCAAGGGTAGAACAGCCAGAGCCTTTGAGGCTCATCTCAAGATGCCTCATCTTGTCTATTCATTCCCGCTTTAGATGTAACATATATAGAAAGGCAGACTTGCCATCACCATCTCCCTTGCAGTTAAATGGCGGCGGGAGGGGGAGGGAGGAGTGTCTGGTGTGTCTGGTGAAGGATGCCGGCAACATCTCCAGATAGATCACATCTCTTTCAGTCACGCGCATCTACTGTAATGTTTGTCACACTCTAGTTCTGCGATTGCGTCTCTGAAAATGATTCCTATCTCTCTCCCCGATCTAGCGCCTAGGCTAAAATCCGCCCTACCTGGCCGCGTGGCGCCGCCTGGTGATTCCCGGAGGGGATCTCGCACATCCTCCTGCTCCTGAGCTGGGAAGAAAAACCAGGACTCTGCGAGAAAGGGGGCGGGACTTTGTAGAGGCAGAACGAACTTCTCGAGATCAAATCCTACCAACCAATCAATTTCCGACGCCGTTCACATAACGGAAGCTTTTTCTGACGGAGAGGTAAGCTTTCTGTGCTGCGCAAGCGCAGAGAAGGACTCTATAATGCGCCTGACACTAGAAGCCTCGTTCCAATTGGTTTGCGACTTTGCGCATCCGCCTAAACAGTTTTGTCAAAGACCCAGCGTAAACTTGCTGACCCAGGAATATTGTAGTAACGAGGGGTTTCTCAGTCCCATTTCCGCCAGATGTTTTAAAATTTGAACCTCCAGGTAGGAGCCAATAGCCTGAACTACAACTGGAGGACACGAATTTGAAGAAGATATAAAAATATATAGCTTGCATTTTAACACACACACCCATTTAGTTTAATAAATTCAGTTTGTCGTTCCCCAAAATGTATGTCAATTAGTTTCCTAAATATTATTGCAAACCACTTCTTTTAACTCAATTTTACTTTTGTTTGCCTTAGAATCAATGTTGATTCTTGGAAATTGCCTAGGTTTAGTTCCTGAAATTTTCTCCGCAAGATTGTGGAAGTGATTTGCCATAGCCGCCTTCCAGGGTTGAGAGGATGGACTAGCCCAGGGGTCTGCAACCTTAAACACTCAAAAGAGCCATTTGGACCCTTTTCCCATAGAAAAACCTGGATGGGTGTGGCCAACTCAGTCACCCCAGCCAATCACATGAACCCCCCCCATCACGCCTACCCAGGTTTTGTGGCTCCAATGTCTTCTGTGGGAAATGGGTCTCTCTCTCTCCCTCTCTCTCATTTCTGTTTTTCTCTCTTTTCCCTCTCCCTCTCCCTTTCTTTTTCTTTCTTTCTCTCCCCCTTCTCTCTCATGTTTCCCTCTTCACTCTCTCATTCTCTCCCTCCAGCTCTCTCTCATTTGTCTCCCCCCCTCCTCCTCCTCTCTCATTTCTTTTTCCTCTCATTCTCTCCATCATTTTCTCATTTCTTTCTCTCTCTTTCTCTCCCCCTTTCCCTCTCTCATTTCTCTTTCTCTCCCTTTCATTTCTCTTTTTCTTTTTCTTCTCCCCCCCTCTCTTTCTCTCCCTTCTCTTTCTCATGTTTCCCATTGTTGGAAGAAATATCCTTCTGGGTTCAGTTCCAAGTGGGGAAAAAAACACTGGAAACATGGAGACTGCTTGGAAAGATGGTTTAATGGTGGACAGGATCACATGGTTGAACCCAAGTAACTCAACTTGGAAAAGGGCAGAGATGCTGCGAGTCCCTGAGTTTTATGCCCTCTGAGCTTTGAATTTCCTGGGGCACAGGAAGGGTATCCTGATTGGTTGTCAGACTCACAGGGGGTGAGGGTCTTAGCTAGCCTTGCTGCCTGATGTAATCTTCCCAGGTCCCATGTGGGGAGTTTCTATTGTTAGATAGGTCCTATTGTGTTGCAGATGATGGTCCATTGACAAAGGTGGGGGGAATGAGTGAGCTTTGCTGAGGCCTTAATGGCCCATTGACAAAGGTGGGTAGACCAACTAAATGAAAATCAACAATCACTAGCAGAGATTCAAAATTATTTTTGAAAATAATCTAGAATTTCTACCTCCCAACTTGCCAAACCAACATAACTTAATGGACCTGCTTAATAGGATTGCAGTATTAGAAAAGATGCTAATGTCCTATGGAAACAATGTTCCCTATTCATTCCAAGCAAAATTCCATATTTTGGAAAATGCTTTGAGCAGCAAAACCCCAATCAACCAAATTAAATATGTATGCAAGTATAGATAGGTAAAATATATTTTTCTCTCATTCTAGGAAAAAGAATAATAAACTAGTTTTCTGGAGGGGTTTTTTGAGGGGGGAGGGGAGGGGTTGCTGCCTGGAAATACTGTGAGTTCTACAAAGCCAGCTGTGTGACCTTGGGCCAGTAACTCTTTCTCAGCTGTAGGATGAAGGCAATGGCAAGTTTCTTCTGATATCTTGTCAAGAAAACTGTAGGAACATTGTCCAAGCAGTTGCCAGGACTCAACAATGACTTGAAGGCACCACAACATACTAGTCACACAGTGAGGCACAAACTTTAATGTGGTTGTAGGCCAGAGGTGGTATTCAGCCAGTTCCCCCAGTCGCCGCTCGCACACCCCAACTGCCATGTTCATTGCCATGTTCTTCACACACACGCATCCCATTGCCTTGCAAGTCCAATGGGATGCGCACATGCAAAGAACATGGCAGCGGCAGCAGCTTTTTCCGTGATCTTCGGTACTTTTCAGCGGCCTGTGGCCAGCCGCCACAGCCACAAAGCAGCTCTCAAAGAGGAGGCGGCTGGGAGGCTTCTTTGCCAGCCACTTTCCAGCAGCAGCGGCTGGCTGGGGGCCGCCGAAAACTCTGGTCAGCTTGTCTTCCGGACTCTGGATCAGCTGCTGCAGAAGGTAAGCAGCCTGAACAAAGAGGCAGGGTTAGGGAGATTGCTAAAGGAGGGGAAACGGGGTGGGGGACTGATGAAGGGAGGGTCGGGGTAGATTCCAAAAATTTTCCTACCTTTTCCTGTGGGTGTGGCTAGGGTCATGTGACATCAAGTTGGCCACTCCCACTCAGTCACATGCCTCACCCAACCTAGCTACATCCATCGAACTGGTAGTGAAAATTTTTGAAACCCACCAATGTTGTAGGCCTTGAATCCTCTGCAAACTAACATAGCTGTTGAATTGTTTTTCCTTCCCAGATCAGGCACTCTCCACTCTTCCTCCTCCTCAGAATGAACAAAGCCCTCTAACTAAAAAGAAGATGAATTGAAAGAAAGAATAACTGAGTATCTACAACAGCACCAAAACAATAGAATAAGATTTCCTGCATTGAAGCTTGTTCCAAAGAGCTAGCACAAGTATTAAAAGATGTCAATACTATAATAACAAATATAAGCACCAGCTCACTGTAAGAATCAAATCAACAACTGTACAGAACATGTGCAATTATAACTGAATAACTGGGATACAAAATCAGAAACAAGAAAGAAAAATGGTGCATCACCAAAATGAAACATTAAATGGAAAATAAGATCAGCCTGTTGCTTTGGGTTTAGTGCAATACTCTTTACTATCTGGAAATTTCAACTGTACAGAATGCAACTGCATATACGGTAATGAAAGCCCCTTGATTTACCCATGCAATGTTTTTGTTGTGTGAGCTGCACTGGCTTCCAGTTTGGGTGCAATTCAAGATGCCAATCATCGTCTTTAAAGCCCTATAAGGCACAGGGCCAAGTTATCTATAGGACCACCTTTCCCTGAGATCATCTACCAGTCCTATCAGACACGGTAGCCAAACTACTAGATCTTGCCCTATGGAACATTCTGCGCCCTGAAATTCGGCAGACCTCCATCCTCCTGGCTTTCCCTTGACTTTTTCTCTAAGCACTGGTCAAAATTGGATAACTGCACATTAGATGGTTGATTTGGTACACACACACACACACACACACACACACACACCTTAGCAGGTAAGCAGAGAACAACCAGACCTGACACTGGTTAAGAGCAGAGAAGGGTTTTTCTTTTTTTCTTTTTTGCCTTTTGTCCTGTAATATTTCCTAAAATATTTCATTCTTCTAGGAGAAGGGTGGGTGCTAACTTCCTACAATCCCTCCTTTTTTTTCTTTTTTTGATGTGAGTGGGACACACATGTTCTTGGCAAAAGATTAAAATTGATCAGATCAGGGAGACTTGATGAGTGCTTTTAATTGTTCTGATGCAAAGGGGAAGGCATTGATAGAGGCAACAGAAAAGGATTTCTTCAGTGGCTCCCAAAAGCTTTCAACCATGAAGGTCTAGCAGCCAGGGGGAAACTTCTGGTAAGAAATTTTACATTATCCAATTTCTATGCCAATTAATTTCAGATGTCAGATATCACCTTCTGTGAGCTTCCAGTCAGGTTTCAAGCAAGCACATGTCCCAAAATTTTTCACAGCCATGGTTTTCCTTTAAATTGCAGGCTGCCCATTTCCAAGGGTTGGTTAGTGAACCTGCCCTAGTTCTTACTTTAGTGCATCCAGGATTTGTGAGTCCAAATTGAGGTTAGTCAGTGTGCAATCCAGGCTTTTTTTTTTTTTTTTGATATTTTTTTATTACACACACTGAGCCCTGGGACTTCTACTCATGAGACCACCAGTGCAACATATCTTTCTTTACTGGGCAACTGGGCAGCATCATTTGTGAGTCACAGTCAGAGCTTGGGTTTTGGATATCACTTTTTCTGCTATCTCTTCAAGTGAGGGAATTGCCTGAGGGGGATTGCCCCCTCCCCCATGGAATTAGCAGGGAGATATGACTACTTGGGCTTTTAGTGGCACAGAGCAAAAATCAACCTAGGAGAAGCTTTGCATGGAGGTAAGTGAAGGGAGTAGTTTCAGTCTAATTCTGAATGGTGTGTCTGTATGTACATGTGTATGCAGCTACTTTTACAATACAGGCAATGCAAAGATTTTGGACATATTTCTCCTTCCCACCAGACAGAAATCTAAGGTGTACAAAACTTGCTGTGGCAACCATTCCCAAATACAATTCTTACAATAAACTGATTACAATATAAATGAGACAAGAAAGAAAACCTTACAATGAATTTCCACCCTCCCCCATAGTCTTTCCAGCTGTCTTCTGGGGATTAAAAAGAGTCTTCTGGTCTTTACTTGTACATCTCAGGGTCTTTTATTTCATGTCTGCTGGGTGACGTGCTTGGTGGTAAGGCTGGTCAGTCAGGCTTGAGAAGGTCTGCTCCACTCTGGTTGCTGTGATGTCTTTCAGTGGAGGATGGATTCAAACCCAATTCCTGGCTCAAACAGATGTAAGGTCTCCTCTGGAGGCAATAACTGGATCCATGGGTTCTGCTTACACAGGTTGCAGAGTCATTTGTGCAGGGCTGAAAGACCTGAGAATAGGATCCCCTCCCCCACTTTGTGGGTAAACTTCCCAGGAAGGGCATTGTAACAGGATTAGAGATGGGGGGGGGAGTAGATAGCTTGCAGGCAGAGTTTGAAAAGAAACAACACATCAGTATTGCAGTTACTAAACAGATAATGCGGTTTCAACAAAATGGAGACACAACAGATGAGAAAGAAAAACTGGATTCACATACTTCGGGAAGAGATGAGCAGGTAAAACCATTTAAACACAGTGAGTACAAGACTGAATTTTTTTTTCTTGTAAATGAACTTAAAACGTTTCCTCATAAACTTGAGTTGTTACTTTAAGATACAGAGATGGAAGGAGGGGGAAAAATAGAAATAAAACAAAAAGTTCTCTTTACTCTGTTCTAGTTGGCCAGACAAACCCAGGGCAAAGGTTCTTTCTTTTTTCTCTCTCTCCCCCATTTTTAATTGTTTCAACCTCTTTTTTTCCCTAAAAGTTTAAAATTCTTGTCTCTAGTGATCAGATACATTTTACAGTTACAACTACCTCGAGGGCACACAAAGACTTAGATATACACATAAAAAAACAAGGAGGACAAAGAGAGGAAAACAGAACTCTGAGATTTACACACATACTGATCATTCCCGCCATAAATCTCAGTTAAATTAGGAAAGGCACAAATCTTAACAAACATACCACATGGTTGCATAGAAGACAGAGAAAGAGACAAACAAAACAAATAAAAACCCCAACATTCCTATTTATAAATTTCCCTTTACTTTTAAGTACCTTTATTTAGCCAAATTTGTCTCCCAGTGTTATCTCTTAGCAGAGCCCATTTTTTACACAATTTCCTGGCTTGCTTTTTGCTCATGCCAGTTAAGACTGGCATCTGCCTGGCATCCTAAGCCACAATCAACTCTTCCGGGGGATTTTCCATCATCCGCGAGCTACTGCTTCCCATGATTGTTGAAATGTAAGGTTCGCTGTGGCTGTAGCCGGCGACTCTCCTTTGGTTTTCAGAAAAAAAGGTTCTGGGAAGAACTTCAATTCCCTCACAAAGTACGGGCCCCCTTCTTAGTTAGGGAATTAGTCTAGATTTGCGGATCAAAAAAAGGATCCAGGAGGACTTCACTGCCCCTACAGCTAGTGCTAGAACCTCCCTACTCAATATGCATACACTGGGGCTGCTTTCTTGGAATACACTGGGGACTCCCTTTACTTTTATTGCCCTTTTCACTTTCGCTCAATGTTCGCTCGGCTTCCGTTCCCTTTAAACACAATGTCCCACATTCGGCCACCCCCACTTGCTTTCTCTATCCTACTGGTCACGGCTCAGTGGAACTAGCGGTAGGCAGAGGTGCAGCTAGAGGTCGCTCAAAGAAGTGGAATCAGACTGTTGTCCAGATGGAATCCCACACACGCACACTTCGTCCTTCCCTAACAGAAGGTCCTGTGCTCTGGCAAAACCCCATGCTCGCCAGACTGTTGGTCTTTCTGCGGTTAGGAAATGCACAGAGGAAGCAAGATCCAGCTGTGATTGGGAGGAGGGCCCTCACACACATGCAGGCATACACACATTTCCCATGCTTTTCCATGCTTTAAAATTAAAATTTAGAAGGACTCACCTTCTTTCCAAGCAGCCTTTGAGCTCAGCACTCAAAACCCCCTTAAAATAAGGTGACCAGACGTCCCGCTTTTGGCGGGACAGTCCCGATTTTTAGCAATTTGTCCCGCGTCCCGCGGCGTTTCAAAAAAAGTCCCGATTTTTCATTCTGCCTCCTGAGTCCCGCTGCCTCTTGAGCCCCAGCTGATGGCTAGAAGAAAAAAAAAACTGTTTAAACTCTTGCCCGGGGCTTCAAAGGGCCGCCCTACAGGCAATCAGTGTAAAGAGTTCCTGAAGCAGTTTTTTTTCCCCCTAGCTAAGCTGCAGAAACGAAACCGAAACCAGGATCTTTGGTGCAACGTGACAAAATGAGGCAGAGAGATTTATTTTTATTTTTATTTTTCCTCCCCAAAAAAGGTAGGTGAAAAACTGCAAACAATGGGAAATTTAGGAGGAGAGTTCAAGATTTTAAAACACAAAAGAAAAGAAAGCTGTATTTAACTAGGGAATTGTAATAATTGAGATACTATTAATTGTATATTGTGTTGAAAGCAGAAATGGTTAAGTTGTGGTTCAGAGGAATATATGGGGGAAATTATTTGGTTTAATATTATTGGTAAATATAATTAATTGATTTGTAAGAAATTGGATTCCATGGAAATAATTGGAATATTCATGTTTATATTGATTAATATACAAAAAAGATAGTTTTATAACTAATTGATTTATATTAAAATGTTGAATTTGTATTAAACAACTGTATTACATAATTACATAATTAAACAATGTGAGGATGGATATAAAAATAGATGACAATGGAAAGGGGTATAATATAGAATAGAAGGGAAAAATTGAATTTGATTAAGATTAGAGATGAGGATGAAGGGTAATATTGGTTTTTTTTAAAAAATAGATGAGGAATAAATATGGCAAAAAGGAAATATAGAAATTGTAAATTTAATTGAAGTGACTAAACACTGTTTAAATTTGTGAACCGGCCAAATACTCTGTTCAAAGAAAATAAATTGTATGTTTGTATGTGTGTTTCTAATTACTGCTATTTATTCATATTTGTTCTCTTTTATTCTTTAAAGTTTAACCATTCATTCTTTATCTTAATATCTTTATATTTGTTGGGGGTTGGCTTTCTTCCCTTTCATCTTTTTTATTGTACAGCATTCTTTCTCCTCAAATCTACCACCTCTCTCTTTTCTTTCCTTCTTACTTTCTCTTCCCCCCCACTTCTTCTCCTCCCTACTTCCTCTTCCTTTCTCTTTCTCCTCCTCTCTTCCTCCCCCTCTTACCCTCACTCCTACTCTAATTTCCCTTCCCTTCCTTCATCCCTCTCTATTGCTATATCCTTTTATGCATATGGACTACTCAGAGGGCTGAAAAAGTTATTTTTGACTGGTCCTCGCACTTTTGACCAGTCCTCGAACTTACGACTGTCTTCACATTTTACGTTTTTTGCCCTATCTTATCACCATGGTGAAGAGAAGCAGTTGTGAAATGAGTGACATGGTTGTTAAGGATGCTGCACAGGCATAAATGTGAGGATG